TGTGGGTGTTTCTTTGTCTGAATATGGCGCTTATCACATGCTGTGTGGTATCGGCCTTTGGTATCGGGGCATTTTAACGAGTACGAGTATAGGAGCTCAGTATCGGGCCCGATGTGCATCCCTACATATAATCAAACTCGGTGTGTAAATCGATATGTGAGGGCAGACAATGTTCCTTAGCCCTGCAGGAAGTAGAGCAGGCTGCCAGGTCTGCGTGTCACATATGCCACATGCGTTCAACTCTTTGTTGTCCATATATATTGATTGTGACCCTCATGGTCTGTTTGGAGTTTGAAACACCACAAGGCCCTTCAGGTAGCTCAAACAACATACATTACTTAGTGACAGTTCACCTAAAATGCAAATTCTGTCACTATTTACTCACCCTTGTGTCATTCAAAACCTATGCTTTCTTCTGCAGAACGCAAAAGAAGAAATTGGGAAAAATGTCAGTAGGCAAACAGTTTTGGTGACCAATGACTTGACCATTGTATGGGGGAAAAAATGCTGAGATATTTCTCAAAATATCTTCTTTTATGTTCCACAGATGAAAAAGTCATACAGGTTTGTAATGACAGAATTTTCATTTTTGGGTGAACTATCCCTTTAACATTGCAGTGTGAAGTTGATCTCTTATGGCTTTTCTTATGACTGATAGTAAAACTAATGTGATTCAAACATTCTCCATGTAAAAAAATGTTGCATTATATCTATTAATTTATGTACAAAAAAAAACATACATGCAATGAATTTTCATATGCTAAGACTTGGATATACTGAAAGTATAGCAGTACACTCCTGCCAGTAGTCTGTGTATTTGTTTTATTGTATTTTTCTAAAAAGTGTTTTTGCTGGTGTAAAACTGACTAAAATAGAGAATGTAATTTTTCTGGATCACAATCAACTTTTTGTGATCAAAATCAAATTTTCTGCATGTCCACTTTGATGCAATAAAAAGCTCCAATAATATATGCACACTTGGTTTCGATTAGGTCACAGGAACATATTAAATGTTACAATCCATTTTATGTCCATAATGTAAAGTATTTTCTGGTAAAATGGGACATGCAATGAGAAAAAGGTGGGGCTTAAATGTATTGCAATGGTCTCTATTAGGCAGTTAGATGGAAACTGTTGAAATACAAATGGGATTGGTGAAATCTGCTAAAAAGCAAAGTTATTTCAGTTGCAGAAATAGTTGCAATTTGCAGTGAGATCAGTAACGTGTCAAGAAAATAAATGGGGTCAAATTTCATTTCTCGTTGACTTCAAAAGTATTTAAAATAATTATTTCTAAATTACAATAATTATTTTTATATGTACAGCAT